GAACGTTTTGTCTCTGGATGTTTCGGAAGGTGGGAGAGAAATATGTGATGGTGCAGAGACTTCTTTTAGATTGGATATCATTTCCTGCTGTACAATTTCAATTTCATTATAACCATACAGTTATATATTTGCCTCTGAGTCAGAAAGTTGTGAATTGAAGTTGTATTTCAGAGCAAAAATCTATGCTGGCTGCACTACTGAAAGTCTCGTCTTTTGAAATGAGACCTTAAACAGGGGGCCTGTCTGAAATCTAAAATGGGTGTACAAGATCCTGTAACAACTTTTTGAAGAGAACAGGGAGATTGTCCTTGGTGGTTGGCCAATATTTATCCATCAGTCAATATTGCAGAAACAGATGATTGGTTGTTATCATCAAGCTATTGTGGGATCTTGCTGAGTGCAGATTGGTTGTAATGTACTTTGGAATATTCTGAAGCTGTGAAAGGTGCTCTGAATATGAGTCTTTTCTGGGACCTTGTTGGAGAGGATCAGAAGACTATTAGAACTGCAACATTACAAGTAAAGATTCTGCACTAAGATTTAAAGTATGCCTGAGTGGCTCAAAATGTATTGAAATACAAGACTGGATGATGTTTTCCAACTGTTACATTTCTGTCTCCAGGGCTGAATGGCTTGTGTCTGTGCTGTAATCATTCTATAAAATGTTAGTTCTGTCTTTTTGATTCTTTGTCTGAAAAGCATTACAGTCAATGTTTTGTTTGATTATGATTAATAATAGGATCTTCATAATTGGGTTATGACTTTAAATATCTGACATGTTACTTCATAAGATTGTCTCAGACTGAACTCTAATTTCCATTCATAGTACAGTACAATTTTATTGACATCACAGTTCTTAAAAAAAAAAAAATCAATCTTTATTAGCTTACTCTGTTATGATGTTTTTCAGTGAAGCACTGTCACGACAGCGCTTCTTAAAATGTCAATTAAACTTTTGGCACTCGTGATTTCTGTGCAGATCAAGAAAATCAGACCTGTGATTGCAAATTTTAAATGGAAAAGCTGAGCATAAAATAGCTTCTGTTAACTGAAGATGCTTTTTTTTGTCTATAAGTTCTGCTTCCAAATGAAAGGGAAGAGGTATTTGCCCTGGCAACATACTTCCATGTCAGCATCAAATGTTTTGTAGCATTGGATGCCTGCCTATAAAGTGTCCTCTACCTGACACATCAGCTAGAATGTGCAATCTTAAGTTAGTGTGAATATGACATGGTGGTCTTTGAGTAAGATTGCCAATTTAATAACATGGGCCTGTATTCATAGCAACCACGTCAGATTCATTAAATGGAAGATCCTCACAGTTGAGAGAGACAACTTCCATCCCAACACACCTGGTTGAGTTTCAATCCTCGTCTCATTAGAAAGTCACATTTCTAATTATTACTTGCAACATCAAATTTGTTTTGATCATTTCCACAAATTATTTTTAACTTCTGAGCACTTAACATGCACTCAAGTTTTGGCTAATATTATGCTCATAATGCCCAAGGAGTAGGAAGTGGGCATCTTGGGCCAGCATTGCCATTATTGTTGATCAGAATTTGTAAACCTGGCCTTAAATATCTTCAATTACACAGCCTTCACCTTCTAGTTAAGGGAATTCTAAGACTAACTACCCTCTGAGGCACAGTCTCGTCATCACCATTTTAAATGGCAAACACCATGTAGGTTCCCCATGAGGAGAAGTAGACTGTCAATGTCTACCCTCCCAAGCCCATCAGATCTTGAATGTTTCATCAAGATTATCTTTGGTTCTAAACACCAATGAATATAGGCCTAACCAATTTAATGGTTCCTCAAGACAATCCTTTCATCCTAGGAATCAGCCAAGTGCAAGTGAAGGTTGTTGTTGTCCCAAAGGACCACAGGCTACTACAGGGATGACTGGCATTGAGTTTAGCCTGAGAATAACCACACCTTGGGTGGGAAAGACAGGGTTGCACAAGTACAGAGTCTGAGTGTTATCGTCAGCCGTTGTAGCAGCTAGCAGCTAACAGCTGGCCAACCCATCTTCCAGATGCTTTCTCTAAACTGCTACCCACAAAACTTCTAATCAACCTGTTCTGATATGTTAGGACATATCTCTGGAGCAGGTATTGAACCCCAGAGATAGAGACATTACTACTGTGCCAGAAGAGCATCTTTCAATGTAAGTATATCCTTTCCTAAATAGTTAACAAACCAGAGAGCAAAACAAAGCAGTATTATACATGCAGTCTCACCAATGTTCTGTACAGTTGAAACAAGATTTCCCTACTTTTGTATTCCAACCCCATGAATTTCATAGCATCTGTTTTCTGTGAAATTGTCATTTAGAATTACAAAAGTATTACGTTATTTATGAAATCTCAAGCTTTGCTGCTTGCTGTTAAAATACATATTTTGTCACTAGATTGATGACTTTGTCAGCTCTAAACTAAATTATTTCAATGTCCTCCTGGCTGGCTTCCACTGCTCTAAGTTTCATAAACTTAGCTCAACCTAAATAACTACCAATTCTACCCTTCAACAACGTTCATCCACCCATGTATCTTGTACCTGCTGGTGTGTATTGGCTAAAAAACTTCCAATGTTTCAAAACTAATATTTTCATCATGTTGAAATGTTTTCATGACCTCACATCCCCACACCCACACCCATACACACGCACACCACTAATTTGCTGGCCCAATCTGCAATTTTAAAGAATTTTGTTCCTCTTGTATCACTTGTTCATCCTGGGGTGTCTCTGCCTCATATTCAGAATCTCTGGAATTTCCTTGATGTTTGTTCACCACTTCTGCCACAAAGTTCACCTCTTTAAAGGAATGTTTGTCACACTTCCCGATTCTTCTGCATCTCGGTGTGGATTTCTGTGATTTGAAGCTTTAAGATATAGGAGCAGAATAGCTAAACAATATCTTGTAGTGTTAAAGGCACCATATAAATCTAAACTTAATTTAGATGGGAAATTAGTTTGAGGGGGGTAATGGCCTGGTAGTATTAACATTAGACAACAAATCCAGAGACCCTGGTAATAATCTGGGGACCTGGGTTGAAATCCCATGATAGCAAATGGTGGAATTAGGAGTCTAATGATGACCACTGTCGATTGTCAGAAAAACTCATCTGGTTAACTAATGTCCTTTAGGGAAGGAAACTCCTGTCCTTATCTGGCCTGGCCTACACAACTTTGGACCCACAACAATGTGGTTGACATGTAATTGCCCCATGGACAATTAGGGATGTGTAATAAATGCTGACTTTGCCAGTGGCGCCCACATCCTGTGAATTAATTTCCTTTAAAAATTAAGAAGTGGTCTTTTTAGCAAGGTTTTAAACTGTTCGTGGGTTTTCTGTTTAAATTTTGATTAGCATTGGAAACTTAATTCAATTTTGGTACTTTCCAATATTCCATGGTATTAGATTTTGTGGGTTTCATTTCCACAATCGGTATGGATATTTGACCATTTGCAAGGTATTTTCAGATAGTTTATTAATTTGTTAAGAAGCAACAGTTTACATATAATAAATTCTTTAATTAAACCAAAATAGTACACAATCCATGATAATTGAGGATGGTTCACTTTTATACCAGAGGATGAACAGGCATTTGGCATGAAGTGTGTTGTTAAAGTTCTGAAGCCAATATCCTGCCTTTTAGCTGAACTGTTTAGAAAGGAATTCCCCCGGATCTTCCCTCCATCTCTTCTGGACCATCTAGCTGAAGAAGACTGCTTTCACAAGATTACTCAATGCAAGGATTGCTGGCGAGGACTGTCCTGACTCTGATAATTCTTTGATATGTACCATATTTCTAGAGGCTGGTAATTTCTGCCTAATCACCCATTTGAATCCTTCCAGCCAGTGGAAATCGGACTGCTACTCATGATGTATGGATAACCGTTTTCCACTTTCCCATTTTCCTCTTTACTAAGAATAAAACTTCTAAATTTTCCAAATACTGCATTGATAATAGTTTGCACATGACACCAGATAAACCTTTGATGACAAATCAATAGACCATTGTGATCTCTAGAATCCTGGTGATTCTTCTGACCTTTATTGCACCTATCTTGGTTTTTGTTTGCTAGAAATTTGTTTGTTTGGGGAAGTCTAGTTACATGGCAGCAGCCATTACATTGGGGCACATTGGTACACAAGAAAAACTGAACTTTAAAAGGACCCAGTTTCCAACAGTAGTCAGGTACAGCACAAATGACAAAGGTCTGTAAATAATTTACTTACAATTTTGAATTTGGTGCACTTATTGCATGGGTGCATTGATCACTTTTAAGTAGTCTAAGTGATCAATCTTGGATCTGCTTTATGATCTGAAATGATTTTTTAAAAACTTTTGTTTTCCCTAGTTTTTATAATTTTTTACGTGGCAGCAGGCTTAGTTCTGAATGAAATAGATTTTTTTTTCCTGCAGTATGCAAGAGCGGTGTAATGTGTGTGAAATATTAAATATATTTCACAGTTTGATGAGGTATCTTGCATAGTTTAAAGGCCAACTTTCCTGACTTCTGTTCTACAACCTAGGATATGCCTGCTTCCTGCAGTCTCCTGCCTTGTTGATAACCACCTTGCAGCATTTATCTTCGTTGCTTTGTTTCTAAGTACCATATCCACTTTTGTAAAGCAATTCTGCAAAAAGGCATTTTCAACTTAATAGCTGTATCTATTAGCATGCTAAAGGAAACCAAAGGGATTTCCAGGATAGAATGCAGACAAATTAACTAGTTATTTATTACTTTATTCTTGTGGGGAAAAGGGTAACTTCCAATTATTGCATTATAAACATCTTTCGTATTTGAAATTTTATTCCAGTACAGAACAAAACTAAGAAGCTAACCCCTCTAAATCAAACGTCAAATTGAAAGAAACTCAAGAATTTTATTGTTTATTGTATAACAAATAAGGTTTGGTTTCTGGTATTCTGTTCCTTGAAGAATTTCACAATTTAATGGCAATTACTTTGTTTTTTTCAAACTTAGATTGAACCCAGCTGCAAGACCATGGATGTGACCTATGCCCAGTGTGCCAATGGCGTGCTGGAGGAGGAACTTGAAAGTGAACCAAGTGATGTAGATTGCAAATCTTTGAAAAACTAAACATTTAACCCAGCGCTTGGCTATGTTTGTTGAGCACAGACACAAACCTGGATCCTACACCTGTTTGGCAAAATGCATTAGTATTAAAGCAACATCAGCCAACTCTGTCTTGCCTATTTCTGTACAATAAGCTACATGAAGCCTTCAAGAACATAAAGCATGGAATAAACAAATATTGTATTGCCTATCAATTTTGTTTTACATGACGTTTGTTACAGAGATCTAAAATGGTATGAATTCTACCAAGAAGAAGCTATTGAGGATAGCACTGAGCATGAAGTTGAGGAACAGGAAATAAAGTGTGAGTTTGAAAAGAGGAAAGCATTTAGGGTCCAAAATGGTAGAGTGGCAGAGAATTGGAAAAGTGGGAATGAAGGAAATGGGTGAGAGTCATGGAGGGAAGAGCTAAACAGGTGGAGTTAAGAAAGACGGAAATAAATGTGGAAAATGGCAGGCAATGAAATATACATTGGATATTCCATTTACTTAATATGTTGAAACATTACACATCCATCTTCAGTTGAATAACAATGATCCAACAGTGAATGTCACTGACCATATATATTACATTATTAGCTGTAATGAATATAAAACATCTGTGAAATTTGAATAAAGACCATTTATTTGTTAAATAAATCTGTTTGAAGATCAAATCTGATGCCAGACAGGAATGTTAAATATGAAAGTAAAAGTGGGTAGATTCTAAAGCTTTGATCTTCTTGATCCAAATACCAATTGTAATTGCCTTGTAAATCAGACCAAATAGACATCCATTGATAATCCTAGGAGAGATCATAGATTAGATGATCATAGACTTTCCACCCTTTTCAACTTCACCTCTGGTTCTACTGTAAGAAAGATGCATCCATTATGCGCACATTTGTGTATGTAAGTCTATGATCATATATCTTACATTCCTGTAACATCATTGAATTGGGCGGAGCTTAATGCAGTTTCCATCATTAACTTTCTCAGATCCATTACATGGCTGTGCATCCAACAAGCAATAGTGATCCCAGAATATACTGCTGTGGGAAACTCCCCAATAACTGAGAAACTGGCCTTACCTCCTGCTTTCTACTCTGAATGTAGTAGGTTTGAATTGTAAGTTGCTATTGCCTATATTTCATTGCCTTTAACCCACAATAATCTTTTGTGGTAACTTGTCAGACGCTTTCTGAATGTGTATGATTCATCCACTACATTTACCCCATCTACTATGTTTGATTTGAAGAACTCCATGAAGTTTGTAACATGCTCTCTGAAATCAATGTTGATGGTTCCAAATTAATTCATCTTTAAAGCTTCCCTTTTTTTTTGTTTCTTACCACAGACATTAAAGTGATGAGTCTGACTTTGGATAAATGTAGTCTGTACTTTTGAAAATACATATTGGATGGGTTACTGTTCAGTGCTCTGTTACATATCATATCCAATGGAATTCTGTAATATAATCAATAAGACCTCTACGATTTGTTTGCTATTTTCCCTTTGGATCAGAATTAGGACGGCTGTATCCACACAATGAGCATTGTTTTGTAATTTGCCATACTTTCATGCTTATTATAATATCTGAATACAGAATTTATCTATACCACAAAGTCATCTTTTGCCCACACTGAAGTACCTGGTTAAATTTCCATCAATCCTCTTCTGAATCACTGTTTTCACCTCTTGATGTTCAACCTCATTCAATGATTCATTTGCTTGTATATTTGTAAAAAATGGTGTATTTTGAATACTGAGATTATCTTCTCAAACTCCCACCGTGCTTTCCTGATTTCTCCCATAACTAACTTTGCTTAGTTTCACTATTGCTATATATAGTCCCTTGTGACTTTTAATTTTGAACATCTCACTGTATACATTTTGAATCAATAAAGTGTTCTTTTAATGCTGTTGGGTTATTCTGCAGTTTTCCAATCTCCTAAAGAAACACCTAATGATCTGTATGTTACTTAATAACACAGGATGTACCTTTTTTTTAATCTTTGATCATGAACACTAGTGACCTGGAACATTTTGTTACTGTTGTAGAGGGGAAGCAACATTTGAGAAAATTCCATTTCCATGTATTCCCTCCTTGCTCAAAACAGACTCTTACTCTGTCCCTCCTAATAATATTGTAAACAAATATCTGTTTATTTTCTGAGATAGTAGGAACTGCCGATGCCGGAGAATCTGAGATAACGAGGTG